GTACTGAATGAGAGAAACAATTATCTTCACGGTATATGAGCATATATCTTATCATCTCCACTTTGAGCACCTGGATATAAAATACACGTCTTGGTAAGACATTTGATGATGAGAAAAAAAATCAAGGATTTGCGTAAATTTTTTTGTTAGATACATTTCAGTTTCAGATACGGTAATTTTAGAAGTGTTATCTTGATTGTTAATGAACTTAGATATTATAGCTTTGAATGTAAACGGTCAGAAAATACACCATTTCAGATTTAAAATTCATGAATGCCAATATTTTAATTAAAGTCTTCAACCGTAAATTATTATGTAATTATATTTAAACAAAATAAGAAAGAGTGCATATTAAACATAATTAAACACATTGTAATTTATAATTTTTTGTGCATAGTAGTTCTGTAATATTTAAGGATTTATTTTCAAGTTTTTATTCTATTCAATATATTGATGTCTAATGGTTACTGTTCATATTTGAGAACTATAAATAGACCAATTATTTGAGAAAACATTTAACTACACAAAAAAATGAGAAACAAAATTGTACAAACCTTGAAAATGACACTCACTGACAATTTAAATCTTGAAGTTTTTCATTAGCACTTTAAACCTTCAAAGTGACAAGGTATCACAAAAAAAACTTTAACTTGGCTTACTTGTTCATCAAGTAAAAACTGGCATGTTGAAAAGATAAATACGATGACATGTCAGTTTCTTTTCCAAAACTAAATTATTTCATTAATAAAATAAATAAAAATTAAAAGAAATTCAGAAAAAAATCTGAAAACCAAATAAAAACTCAGAAACAAAACAAAATCACTCAGAAATTAAATAAATAGTTAAAAATAAATAAGTCAAATTAAAATTCAGAAAATCTTTTTAAGAAATAAATAAGATTCACATAATAATAAAATTCAAAATAGATTTTTTAAATAAATTACAGTATTTATTTTTAAATAAAAATTTTTGAAACCATCATCATCGTCAATAATGATTTGTTTGTAATTCTTATGCAATTTTTCAATAAAAACTAACATATCATTAGTTTACAATAAAAGTTTCAAACATATATACTGTTGATGGTGATGTTTCAAATAGTTTTCTTAGAAACATAATCTTGTAATAAAAAGAAAATTTTTCTAGTTTTTGTCTTTTCTAATTTTTGTGAACTTTCTTTAACTTTTGTTAAATTTTATAATTTTAATTTATTTTTCTGTATTTTGATTTAATCTTTTTAATTTTATTTATTTCTGAATTGTTATTTAATTTTGAAAACTTACTTTATTTTTTTAATTTACTTTAATTTCTGATTTTTTTATAATTTTGATTTTCAGAATTTTAGAATTTTTTATTAAATTAAATAATATTTTTTAAAAAAAACTGACAAATTACTGTTTTTACTTGTTCAAAATATCAGTTTTTTACTTGATGAAAAAGTTTTTTTTTCGACAAACCTTTCTTTATATTGATAAAGCAAGTTTATCCTCATGGAGGAAAGGTACAATGAAATTGGATACAAAATAATGCACAACATATTCTTCATTCCTTAAAGAGGAAGTTTTCGCTAATGAATCTGCAACCTTGTTGTTATTCCTTGATGTCCAAGAAAACCCACAATCCTCGAATTGGCTCTGCCAAATCTGAATTTCACGTATCCAATTGCAGTATCTGAAACTCCTCTTATGTAGCATCACCAACTCCAGTAATTGCTTACTATCACCTTCAGATATTACCTTCCTATAGTCTTTACTCCAAGCACTTTGCATTGCCAAAATCAACTTTGCAATTCCGCTTCAAGACAATCATTAAGTACACCATGTATAACTTGGTTAGCACCTTGATAACTTCATGTTGAATCTCGAAAAATCCACCCTGCTCTTGCTTGTTGATCAGCTGATGACCAGCCTCCATCATAATTACATTTCATATAACCAATTGGTGGTGTTTCCCATCTTGAATGATCAAGCCCATGATTAGCTCTACTATTCACTGTTATTTTCCGAAGAGCCATAGCCCACTCTCTTGTCTCCTTGATAGCTAGCCCCATATAAATCTAATCTCCAATGGTGTTGAGACTGAGCATAAACAAGAGAGTTCCTACTCTTCCAGATTCTCCATAATATCCACAATAGATATTGCCGGTGAAAATCAGATAAGTCGGAATTAAAATTGGAATCAATAATAACCTTAATTTTCTCTTCAAAACTGACTGTTGGATCTGTCAGTTGTATATTTGGAAACTTTTCTCCTTTCCATATTGCATGCGCATGACTGCATTCAAAAAATAAATGTTGTGGAGATTCTTCACCTTGGCAGCATCGTCTACACTGTGCATCTCTTATGACCAGTGGCGGAGCCAGGGCTTAGGCACATGGGTCAGTTGACCCATGTGAAATATGTGTAATTTTTTTTACTTGTATTTAATAGAAAAACTGAGAATTTATCACAAAAATTAGACAAATGACTCATGTAGTATATGCTCCTTATGAAACTGGCCCTTCTGGAATTTTTGGCTGCCTCCGCCACTGCTTATGACTCGTCGACGCTTCAAAAGGATCTCAATGACAAGTGAATTAGAAAGTAGTCTCCAAAGAAAGTGTTTCAACTTCAGTGATGTATTCATTTTCCATATCTTCTTCTTTAACTAAAAAGATCCATCAGATGAGTTGACTCTTCTTGGTTTCAGACTTGTGCGTAGTTGGTATCCCATTTTCACATTATGATCACATGAGTCTGTATCCATCCCAACACGTCTTTATTATCTTGTGCACTTAGTTGAATAGCTTTGACTATTTTTGCATCCTCTGCTTCTATCAACTCATCCACCAATTCATTATTCCATACATTGAGTACCTGGTAGCTTTGACTGGTGACCATCAAAGGAATAATAGGAACAATGAGGAAAGTAATGAAGAGGAACAAAATAATAGGAACACTTGTTCCATGTTGTTCCTCCCCGGATTTGATAAGGAATGCTTTTGTTCTTTGATTCCTTAAATTAAAAGGAATGAAAAGGAATATTGAAAAAAAAATATTCCTTATAAATGGTGTCAAATTTAAGGAATAAAAAGGAATTAACTATTATAATTCCTTATAAATGGTGTCAAATTTAAGGAATAAAGAGGAATTAACTATTCCCACACATTCCTCTGGTCACCAGTCAAAGCCATAAACAAATCGTTAACTGCTAAATCTGTTGGAATTACATTCTCCTTCAACCTTGGTGGTCTTGGAGGATTCAAAGGTAACCATGAATTTGTCCAGGCTTGGGTTTCCTGACCATTACCAATAAGGACCTTGGCGCCCTTTTTAATAAGATTAAGTCCCTCCATAAGCGATCTCCAAACATGTGAAGGTTTAGAACCTAATCCATCATTAAGAATCATTTGTTGGGGAAAGTAACGGCCTCTCAATACCATGAACACAAGATTAGATGGGTTTTGCATTATCCTCCAAGCCTGTTTTGCTAGTAAAGCAACGTTGAAACTCTCCAAATCTTTAAACCCCAAACCACCTTCCTCTTTAAGAAAGCTCAACCAATCCCAACTAATCCAAGTGCATCCCTTGGTTTCTTTGGCTCTTACTCCACCATAAATCAGTAAGAGCTTGTTTATTTCCTCATAAATGCCAGCAGGAAGTTTAAACACATTCATTTTGAAAACAGGTAATGCCACGGTAACTGTTTTAATGATAATCTCTTTCTCTGCATCAGTAAGGTATTTGAAAGACTATTTTTTTGTACGCTGTTCCACCTTTTAAAAAATATATTTAAAAAAAAAATGCCTACTTATTCTTTCCAAACTGCTCTGGTAGACCCAAATATTTCCCATCTCCTCTATCATTGTGAATCTGCAGAATGTTCCTTAATCTTGTTCTGATTTCAAGCTTAACTTTGCTGCCAAAAGTGATCGTGGATTTCTCATAGTTGACTGTCTGACCTGAAATTTCCTCATAAACCGATAGAATATCTTTAATTTTATTATATCACAAATGTCAATTTGAAAATTTAAAATACTAATAAAAAGTTTCTAAGATTGAAAGTGTTCCTAAATACCAATTTCAGGATTTTTTTATTATGCAATTTCGCAAAAAAATAATAAATTTGGTGTAGCATTAAACATTAATGGACATTGATTGAATACGGGTGCAATCATACCAGCATTTAGCGTGTTTGAGCGAGAGTAGGAACACGAGGACATTGATTGAATACAAAGAAGCGTCAGGATATTTATTATTTATATAAAGATAAATAAAGTCGATATAGTTACGTCTCTCACGGTAACTCTGTCGTTTTCCTCACTCAGATGAGAGAGAGAGAGGTGGTCTCATGGCGAAACAGCAGCTTCCGACGACTTTCCCACTCCACAGTCACTAACGGTGCCGTTTTGTAGCTTCTTCTCTGTGAAAATGCCGCAACCACATTCCTCCAATCTCTCACCGACGCTTTTTTAGGTTTGCTCCCCTCTCTCTCTCAGCTCTCTGTTTACTCTGTTTTTCGAACTCAAAAGACTCTTCCTTTGTGTTGCTTCTATGATTTTAAATCATCACAGACACTTGATTGGTCTTTTTCATTACCGTAAATGTGAGAGTAGAACCGATTAGGACCAATTATTGCAATAAAGATTTGAGCTTTAACAAGAAAAAAAAAGAGTCTTTGAGTCAATTCGGGCATGTGTTTTTATTAGAAAGAGTCAGTTTTCATGATGTGGGGGTACCTTTCTTTTCTAAGCTCTATCAAATTTGACTTTATTAAGTTTGGTGGGTCGGCAGGCGATTTTTCACGAAAAAAATGGGGAAGATTCGTGCAGAGTTCACTTTATTAGCTTACTAAATTTTAATCACTTTTTAAGCTACTTTTCTTTCCTTTATATGTCCTGTAAGGTACGGTTAGTATTTGCTTACAAAGACCCCATGATTTGAGAGTTGAGATTTAGTCATCATTGCTTTTTCAGATTCTCTCTACAGGAAGATAGTTTTAGTTAAGGAGCTTGTCATCAATGGAGCATTACGAGGTTCTTGAGCAGATTGGGAGAGGGTCCTTTGGGTCTGCTCTTCTTGTGAGGCATAAGCATGAGAAGAAACTGTAAGAAACATTGGTCACTTAGATGGAAACTGGAAAGAGAATATATTTCTGCAATTGATTTTCTGTTGTTTTTTGATGTCTGAAGGTATGTTTTGAAGAAAATTCGGTTGGCTCGACAGAGTGGTAGAACAAGAAGATCTGCTCACCAAGAGGTTGATTCTAGGTCTCTATGTGTCACACACACATTTGCATACTAGCTTTCGTGATGACCCTTTGTTGTTTGGGTCGCAAACACTTATCCAAGTGGTCATTATCAGTAAAATATTTCTTTGCTCTATTAAATTGAAACCTGAACACAGTAAACAGCTATTAGACTGTTAATTAAGATGTTCACTCAATGCCACTGAGATGAAAGCTTACTTGGAATATGAGTGTGTGCTGGTGGTTGAATGCCATGATGTCATTGGAATTCAAAGTTTATGATTTTGTGATTAACAGTTTCTTGTTTTGTCGTTATAGATGGAACTAATCTCAAAGATACGAAATCCATTTATCGTGGAATACAAAGATTCTTGGGTTGAAAAAGTATGTTCGCTAAGCTTTGTGTTAATTAATTATAGGTTTATTTGTATAGTTATATGATTGGGTCTCTGGTGTGTGTTTTCAGGGATGCTATGTGTGCATTGTTATAGGCTATTGCAAAAGCGGTGATATGTAAACTGTTGTTCCTTGTCAGAATTTTGATTGCCCATTCTTGACTCTGAAGGGGTTTCTGATACATTGTTTCCTCTCCACTACAGGGCAGAAGCAATAAAGAAAGCTAACGGCGTAGGATTCTCGGAAGAGGTGTTTACACACGTCTGATTTAACTTCTTATTTCTGGAAGGCTTTAGATTAGTACAGAAAGTTATTAATCACTCTTCTTTCTTTGTTTCAGAAACTCTGCAAGTGGCTTGTACAACTGTTGATGGCTCTTGAATACCTGCACGCCAATCACATTCTCCATCGCGATGTCAAGGTTGATTCTTATGTCTGGTCCGGAGTATTACACAAACTATTGATAATCTCTGTGCTCAAAAGTTTCTAATACAGAATCTACTGGTTTTATTCCAGTGTTCAAACATATTCTTGACAAAGGATCATGATATACGTCTAGGTAAAGATGCTTAGCAAGTTCTCTCCTCTTTTTTCCGAATCGTGTTAGTAATAAGTTGAGTTTAATGACTTCTGCAGGTGATTTTGGACTTGCCAAGGTCTTGACATCAGATGACCTTGCTTCTTCAGTAAGTAGAGACTTCGTACTTCTTCCATGTTTTGGTTTTTGGTCCCAGACACTGTGAAGTGATTTGTTTTGTAAACCAGGTGGTCGGAACGCCAAGCTATATGTGCCCTGAGCTTCTTGCTGATATTCCCTACGGATCAAAGTCTGATATTTGGTCGTTGGGCAAGTTTCTCATCTATGGCTAAGATACTAAGCAATAGTGATTAATCTGAGTATTCTTCTTTTCTATTTCATTCAGGATGTTGTATATATGAGATGACGTCTCTGAAACCGGCATTCAAAGCCTTTGTAATTTCTCTCCATCCACACCATCAAGATCATATTCTTACGTTCTTGATTCTGATACTCATTACAACTTTCTGCAATTTTTAGGATATGCAAGGACTGATCAACAGGATAAACAGATCGATCGTTGCTCCACTTCCTGTGCGATATTCTACTGGCTTGTAAGTATATATTCTCTTATTTGTAACGTGAATCATGCAACAACTTCTATATGATTTGTGTTCCTGCTTTCTCCAGTCGAGGTCTGGTTAAAAGCATGCTCAGGAAGAATCCAGAACTCAGACCAAGCGTATGCACAACTCTGTGGCATTTTGTGATCGTTTAAGCTGAGCTGTACAAACCTGAAGAGTAATATTTTCTCTTCTTCTGTGTAGGCTTCTGATCTTCTCAGACACCCGCTGCTTCAGCCTTACGTCCAAAAGGTTCTTCTCAAGCTGAGCTACCGGGGACACGATACATTGCCAGAATCTGAACCCGCAAGAAGAAGCAGCTATCCTGAGCAGAGAAGGCGTTCTTCTGGCAAATGCATAAGCTTTGGTCCAAGCAAGTTCATGGTTGATCAGGAAGATTCTGTGTCTTCTGTTAAACCAGTGCACACGTATTTGCACCGTCGCATGCCAGTGGATTTGTCTGCTAATGACAATGGTAGAGTAACTGTTCGTAGATCCGCTGTTTCAAAAGGGGTTTCTTACAGTTCAAAGTATGTGCCAGGGAGATCAAGCCTGCCTAAGAGTGGTGGTCTGGTAAGTCATTTGTCCAGATACACTCCTTATCTTACTAATTGCTGGTTCAGTCTTTATATATTTTTCTGTCTGATGTGTCAGAAACAAGCTGCAACGATTCGTAGGGCGTCCTTGCCTGTCTCACATAAACCTGCAAAAGGAACAAGAGACTCTCTGTACACCCCAAACATAGGTATACTCCATCAGCTAAACTCACCAGATGTGTCTGTAAACTCTCCAAGAATCGACACCATCAAGTTCCCACTAGCTTCATATGAAGAAATGCCTTTCACTCCCGTTGTGCGTAAGAAGAATAAAGGCTCCTCCAGAGGATCATACAGCCCGCCTCCAGAGCAACCTCTAGACTGTTCAATCACAAAAGACAAGTTCACGCTTGAACCAGATCGAGAAACCAAGAGCGATTTGTCTGATCAGAATGCAACTGCTGGAGCATCAAGCAGAGATTCTTCAGGTGCATCAAGAAGACAAAGGTTTGACCCTAGCTCATATAGACAACGTGCTGAGGCACTTGAGGGACTGCTTGAATTCAGCGCAAGATTGCTTCTAGACGAGAGGTATGATGAGCTGAATGTGTTACTGAAACCGTTTGGTCCAGGAAAGGTGTCGCCTAGAGAAACTGCGATATGGTTGTCTAAGAGCTACAAGGAAGCTAGTTCTAGTAAGCAGTAAAGGTTAAGATCCAGAGTGTAGCAAGCAGGAAGGTTTAGAAAAAAAAACAGGGTTCTAAGTCTTTTTTTATTTGAAACTTGTTGAGGGCATTAATGCTTCTTCTTCCACGATTTGGTAGAAATTGTTTGACTCTTAGGCTGTGTTCTTTGAATCTAACCCTTGTAGCTGATGATATATCCAAGAAAGACTGATATTAAAAACATACAACTTTCTCTTATCTCTGTAATCGTTATTCCAGTCAGAACTTATGAACCACATAGTTAATGTAGTATAGGTATAAATTGCAGTTCAAGTACTTACATAGATGTTGTCTTCAACAGAGTGAAACTCTCTGAATCGCCATTGTTGTTAAACAAGAAAATTTGAAGCGTAAGAGCTTTTACTTTACGGCCTGAAGGTAATTGTAAATCAGTTTTCATAATTGTTTATGCACAAAGAACCCAATCCTCAAGTCAACCGAACAAAAAACTTGATGAGGACATTTTTTTTATGTTCATCATTGACTTATGACAGATGGTCTGTTGATTCATCTTTGGATTTTCTTTTTTTTGTCACTGAGATTCATCTTTGGTTAATAGTTAGTTCATTCGTTGTGATTTGGTGGTGCATCCGCCATTGCTCAGCTTCACTGTCTCTGGCTGCAGCTGCAGTACACCAAAGATTACAAGCAAAACTCCAGCTAGTGTCTTCCGCATTACGAAGCTTGAACCTCTGATAGCACGCAACACACTTTTCCTCACAATACGCATAAGCTTTGATACTGGCTTAACACTTGTTTACTCTTACTTTCAAATCATGAAATGAAACAGTAGTGTAGTGTTGTTACGTTTGAAAAATTTATTACGACAGTTTAACTGTTATACAAAAGAATCATTTCAAAATAAACCTAATAACCATACAAAAACTTGCAAGACAGTTTCTGCAACTCAATAATTCATCAGACTTTACGGTGAGTATCCCTATCAATACGCTCAACGTACATTGGAAGACGAACAATCTCTTTGATCTCATCCAGCAAAACCTCCTTAGTTATATCATCATTAATAGATTTCATCACACCACGAAAAGTTCCCATACCATTTGGTCGAGATTTATCAACTCTAACCCTCATAGGCACCCATACTTTGTACTCTTTATCCCAAAAACACTCCAAAAGCTTCCCAGAGTAACAACCCGGGTGGTCCCAACCATCACCTCTAAACTCAACCGTATGTCTATTCATAAGCTTTTTCCTCCCGTTTTCATACACGAACAGCATGTAACGCCCATCTCTACCCACTTCAAATAAAAAGTCAATAGTGTCTTGAAACTTCCACTTGAATAAGCCTTGGTTTCTCTGGTAAACATAAGGGTCGTCCCAACCTTGAAGTATTATCCCATCGGATTCATGTGAAAGCTTAGGTATCAGCTCTTTGAACACCTTCTTCTCCAAAGCAGAGAGTATACAAAACGCTTTTATACGTACCCCAAAAGGCTCCATCTCGTATCTGTACCAATGGTTTGTAACCTTCTTCTCATCGTTACGAGGTCTCATCACCTCTCTATCGATAATGCTCCATCTTTCACTGAAAGGACGGTCAGCTACTGATACACCGTTGACTGCCACCATGTCATAGACAAGATACCTCCTCGCCTGACAAGGCCTTCCTTGTCCGTCTACAAAGTTATCTACAACCATCTCTCCATCAAGCAAAGTGTATTCATGCACTTTAGGCTCGTGAGACCTACTACAAGGGAAACGCATCTGTACTCTTCTGAATCTGAAATTCCTGTCTATCAAATAACATCCTTCTCTAGTCAAGAGCATCATGTAACGTGTTCCATCTGCTTTCCAAGTCGCGTAATAGTACCTCTGCCTCAAGAGTTGAAGCCCTTCCCTGTCTAAAGATACAGGATGCGAACCAGGAAACTGCAAAGGCTTTCCATCTATCTTAACATTCATCATCTTATAACAAAACTCCTGGTAACACTTCTCTTGACTGTAAGGTATCTCATCTCCCAAAACTAGAGCTGTCAAATGGGCCGTCCAGAGCCCATTTGGGCTTGACCATTTAGACCATTTCAGTTTTTGGGCAGTAATGGGTGGTCCATATTGGACAGTGGTCCAAAAAGTGCCCAAGACCACTAAAGCCCATGTCCAAATGGACAAACCATGGACACCCAAATGACCAAAACCATTTGTGTATTGTTTATTTTTTAATTTTATTAATTTGTATATAATTTAA